TCAGCAGACAGCAAGAAGCCTCCCAGATCTCCAGATGCATTTGAGATATCAAAAAAGTACTCCAGAGTGTTGTTCAGCACGGGGGTGAGTAGAAAATGAAGGCTAATCATGTTTTGGGTGTACTATTCCTTTAAGTCTGAAAAAGGAAAAAAATAGAAAAACATTTTTACACACCGGTTTGCTACGTCAGTAAGTTTGGCATCTCTCGTGTCGTTTTCAGCACCTCCGATAGCGGCAGCATCCATGAAGATCCTTGGGTCGTCCTGCAACAGAATGGTGAAATCAATTCATTCGCCCGCCAGAGGGTGACCTTCACCTGCATCTTAAACCTCCACAAGTTCCCTTTCGATAAGCAGAATTGCAACATCACCTTTCTATCCATGAACGCTGACGGTAAAATGCAGCCTGTCAGATCAGCCTGCTGGGTAGATCCAGGAGGATGAATTAAACTCTTCTCTGTTCTGTGCACAGTGAAAACCTTGCTTCTCAGATCAAGCAACAATGGCTCCTCCACGTTGATGCGGTCTGGCCAGTTTATGGCCACTCAAGGGGAGTGGGGTCTGAAAAACATTGACATTATTCATGATCACTTGGTCGGTGGAGAGAAAAATTCCAGCTTGCTTGTTTACACTGTAAGAACTTATCTAAGCTCCAGCTTTTTCCGGTGGTCCGATTTATCCTAACTAGTGTTGCACCGATACCGATACCAGCAGGTAATCTGTAATAGCGGGCTTTTGCCTGTTGGGCCGGTCCTGATTTCAGTGTGCGAGGACCGGCCCTCATTAAATCATACCGGCCCCAACACTAACCCTCTGGCCGAAGCTCCTACCCATAACAGTAAAAAAAGTCAAGGAACTCAAGAAGCAATACAATGTTAACTCCCTAAATGATGCATGCAGTATATATAGCCCTTCCTTGTCATGCACATCCTTATAAGGGTTGGCATATGGTGTAATTACATATATAATATATAATAATATATATAAATTAAAACTAAAATGCTTTCTTTAAACCGAACTACGATGTTCGTCTTCTATTTGGTGAATTTATGTTCCAATATTTTGCAAAAATATGTTCCGGTGCATGATGAGGTTTTGCATCTAAATTCTAACCTTTTCCGTCTTACGTTCATTGTTGCCAGGTTGGGATGTTTCCCAACTTGGCAGTTTAGGATGGCCGTCTATGGGTAAAAAATGTTCTTCTTCAGATTTGTGGCCTAAGAGATCAATAGACTTTGGTTCAAATTACCGTATTTTCGCGACTATAAGGCGCACATAAACGTCTTTTTTTTCC